TTCAGACCCAAATATAAGCAGTCGGGCACCATCTGTTACCAAAAGAAATTCGGAAATATTACCAGCCGTCCAGGCTCAAGTGGATCAAACAATGCTTTCTCATGCGCAGCGTCCTCAAGGGCGGCCATCATTTCGCCCTACCATGCCTTCTTTGAAGCCCCGTGCTGAAATGGTGAAGAAGTATATCGAACGATATGGGGGTATGGCCAGCTTGAATTCTGCGCTTGAAAAGCCAAGGTTCAGTTTGATGGAAACTGCCTGCAAGTCTGATGATGCCCATTATGTTGCAACACATCAGCTGTTTTGTGTGTGGGATACAAGCCGTAAAGATATTACAGGCATAACTGAGCTTCCAGACTCAGTGACTCTAACTCATGCGTTTCGGATACTTGGTCAGCTGATACGAGACAATGAAGGCATGGCACCGAATCACCTTCGATGGTTTGCTAATTTTCCAAGTCCCTTTACTGATTTGATGAAAAATTCCGAGCCATATCGGCGAATCGTTCAAGAAGTCGGCACATTTCTGTCAAAGTTGGTTTCTAATTGGTCGGAACTAACGAGGATATGTGCGAGCAGAGGCCACCCGCCGCTAGTTGATGAATTAATTAATGAATTAGGGCTCTTGTCACCGACTTTACAGAATATTGTATTCACTGCGACGAGGCGCAATCTTAATATTGTGGATGATGGATATGGTAATGAAATGGAAAAAGTGTTTGAACAAGATAGAATCGGACACAGAGAACTTGCTGCTCGATATAACACTTCTCGACCACCCTCGGAAAAGGAGATTCGAGAGAGAACTAAAACCATAATACAAAAGTATATGATGATATCTTTGAAAGCGCGCCAGAAGATGATGACGAATATTGCTCCGCAACCTTCAACAGCAGCACCAGCGACTCCCTCGAGCATCGGCCAAACCTCAAGGATTCCGAATGGACCATACCCTCATCTAATGGGATCGAGTTTCAATTCCAATCAGAATACTCCGCAGCAAAATCATGTTCAAAATCGTCAAACTGGTCAAACTTTAAGTCAAATACGAACCTCGTTCACTAGATCTTCATCGCCTTTAATGATGGCAAGTGCGACCGGTAGTCATCAAAGTATTACACCACGTACAGGTGTAGACACACCTGGTGCAATTCCCATACAAGCCTTATCTATGGGGTCGCCAGTCCAACAAGGATTCCAATATTCGTCACCTATCTTGCGTGGTAATGGCTCTCAATTCCCGCCATCGGTCTTGCAGAGCAATGGTTCTCAATCACCAATCATAGCACAAAATCAGGGACTTCCTCAAGGCCAATATAATTTTGACCCAAGATTCGACATGAGACAACAACAGCATTATCCACAACCATATATGCAACAGGCGAATGTCCCAGCACAGTATGGCCCAAACAATCCCCAACAAATGAGTTCTCAACAATTTCAACAAATTCAAATGCATCAGCAGCATCTACAACATCAACAGCAGCAACAACATTGGTTACAGCATCAGATGTCTCAACAGCAGCAAGCCCAACATCAACCTTTAGCACCGCAGCGTCAAGCTCATCCGAGAAGAGACAACCATCCAATCAATGGTCAGCAACAGCAGCAGCCAGTTTTATCAAGAAATGCTAGCAGAAATAGTACTAGAAATAATAGCGTTTCCGGCGAGCGTGTGTCTCCGTTGATGAGTGGTTCTATTTATATGCGAAACAATCCTCAAGGGAACCAAGGACCTCCGTACCCAAGGCCGATGTCCATTGAAGAGCAAGAGTGCATACAATATAGCAACATGCCCGATCCCATGAAAAGGTCTTTCATCCCCCCCCTTGGTTTTATACACCCCCAGGGAATTCCAGATCCAGATATGAAAGCTCTTCATCAAGCGAACCTTCGCAGTCCTCGCCTTGTTACTATCGCTACTCCTAACCTTGGCTGTGATGGCGTCTCTCGCAGATTTTATCAATTTGTGAAGGATTTTCCCATGGCTCCAACGAAGATCCCCTTCGAATCCTCACTCAACAGATTAGAGTTCCAGATTTCTGCCGATGCATTGACGCGTATTTCTAGTGATAAATTGGTTGCCAAAGAGTGTCTGATGGTCCGAGAAGTCAAATCGCAATCTCTTCAATTTCGATTGAGATGTGTGTCAGCAGTCGCAGATGCAAATGAAATCCCAATTTCGAGATGGGTTGTTTCGGATACGGTGTGGCCCGAAATGATCTTCGTGGATATCAATAGCCATGAGTTGGAGGCTAGACGCAAATGGCACCATGGGAGAGATCTTCCGATCGATATCACGCCTTATGTAAATTCTGGGACCAACGAGATTACCATATCGATGCCCAAGTTACCTACAACAACTAAAGAAAGGGAATATTTTCTGGCTGTGGAAGAGATTGAGATTTTACAGCACAATGAAATTATGGACAAGTGTAAAGAACAAAGCATTCCTGCAGCAACGGTCGTGGAAGAGATTAAAAAAAAGCTTGCAGGCCCGACAGAGGACGACGATGAACTTTCGATAGTAGTCACTGATCTTTCCATTGGTCTTACTGATCCTTTTACCTCGAGAATCTTTGAAATCCCTGTTCGCGGTAAGAATTGTTTGCATCGGGAATGTTTTGATCTCGCAACTTTCCTGTCGACACGCCCAAGCAAGCCGAAACGACCAGATCAACCTTGTATGGTTGACGTTTGGAAGTGTCCGCTGTGCTCTGAGGATGCACGTCCATACAGCCTTCGGTATGATGAATTCCTAGCTTCTGTGAGAGACAAACTACAGGAACAAGATAAGCTTGACGTGAAAACCATCCTAGTCGCGGCGAATGGTACTTGGCGTCCAAAAGTGGAGTCGCAACCTTCACATAAACGAAAGTCAACCACTGATGACGATGACGACGATTCGATAGATGAAGAAAGGCCAAGAAAGAAATCAACAAATGACGTTAGGCATACCGTGATAGAGATAATTGAATTGGACGATGATTAAACTTTTCTTTGCTGGATTTTCGTTACGACACATGAATACACGAGCACCATGCGGCGTGGAGTTTTGCAAAATTGACCAGCTTTTTGGGTTGGATGAATTAGCTTCTTTGCATAGGTGCTTATCAGCGGCGTTGATTTTAGGGAAAATGGATGGAGGACGAACACAACCAATCGTTTGGCGTACACTAATTTTTGCTACTTCATGTTAGGGCGTTCTCAATTTATTTCGGAAATCTCACAACATGGCTTTGGCGTATGAATGTTCTGTTGAACGCGGCTGCGTAAGGTGTGATTTTCTTAGCATGCGAGAACATGGCATGAAAGGATAGCATATGGTAGGGCATGGCTTTTTTTTAATTTTCATGGTGGAAAAATACCCCCTAGATCATGATTGTCATGAAACTTGAATGGATGATCAGGGATTGGTCTAATTGATTGCACTTGGTATTAGACCACTAGGTCTGAAGTGGATGGGATGTGTACATTGTAATAATGAGCTGAGATATTTGGCTGCAAGATTTGGTATGCATTTATGTGAAGTAATTACAATAAATGAGAATTGAATTTGTGAAATTGATAATATTGGAATGAAAATAGTGGAAAGTGATGTGCAAATTTTGATGCTTTTCTTTTAGTGTTTTCTTCTTCTTCTTCTCGAAATTAGCGAGATTGAGGTTAGGGGGTTTTGACGTGTGGTGTAATGGATGGGTGTGTGATGTGGTTGGTCAGTGTTTTGAACTTGTATGGATGGATAACTGCAAGGTAGGTAGGTACCTAGGTAGGTTACTGAGGATTCTTTCGTTTTATGGCTCTTGGGTTTTGGTTTGGATGGGATTCTTGGGTGATTGGATTCTTGAGTGACTGGATTCTTGAGTGACTGGATTCTTGAGTGACTGGATTCTTGAGTGACTGGGTTGGGAATTTATTTATGTGCATGTATATGGATATGTGAGGGAGAGAGGGAGAGAGGGAGAGAGGGAGAGAGGAAGTTTGTCGTTTGGAGTGGAGAAATAGTTGCTAGGTAGTGGGTAGTGGAGTGAGTAGGTAAATAGAATTGTTTTTTTATATTGGAGATATTATTGTGTAATGGAGGATGGAGGGTGGAGGATTTAGGATGTATTTGTTTGTGGTTTGTGTGTGTGATGTGATGTGATGTGACGTGATGTGTGTATTTATATACGATCTGCTTGGATTGTTGGATGAGGGGAGAGATGGTGATTGAGAGAGATGGTGATTGAGAGAGATGGTGTGAGAGGAGGAGGAAGGGGGGTTGTATGTAGGTCGATATATGTATCTGACTAGATTCTGAAGATTGGGAACGGGATTTGAGAAGGCGCTGGTTTTGATTTTGCTTTTGGCTTTGGCTTTGCTTTTTGGAGTGCTGGAGTGAGGGTAAAGGGAGGGGAGAAGAGAAGAGGAAAAGAAGGACGTGTAGAGAGATGTTATGTATGTCGTAGAGTAAGTCGTAGGTAGATGGTAGTAGGTAGATGGTGAATTAGTGCTTTCTTCATGTTTGTATTTATTTGTCATTGAAGTTGTGATATCTTATGGTATTCTATCCTGTTCAATTTTACCCAGAAAAGAGAAGGAGAGAAAGGATGAAGAAAGTGCGTTTGTGTTTGATGAGGAAGGAAGGAAGGAAGGAAGGAAGGAAAATCTCTCGATTCTCAAATGATGGGTTGGGCAAGAGCTGAAGAGAAAATGAATAAATGGGAGGGAAAGGAAAGGAAAGGAGATATGGAAGATCATTGGAACTTTTAACTCATTGCTATTATTTCAACATCTATTGCTATTGCTATTGCTTGCACAGGAATATAAACAATTCAACGAAATCGACCTCGACGTCGAAATCCACATTCTACACTTCATCACACTTCATCACAAATCTCTCCTCGCAAGCTCGCTTCTGCAGTCCAGTATCCATCCATCCCTCCATCTCTCTAAACCATCCATCCATCCCTCCAAACCAACCAACAACCAGCATCTCACTCCCCCTCCCTCTCACAACCATGCCTCCCCTCCCCTCCCTACCCCTCAATCTGCGCCCCCAAAAACTTCTCCAAACCCTCCTCATCAGCATTCTCTACCTTCTCACCATAATACTCACCCTCTTCAGCGTCCTCGTCATCGCCTCCACCTGGACTTTTTTCATGCTAGATTATAGTTTTGAGAACCTTTCCGTGACGGTACTTTCTGGGATTGCGGAGGTTGTGTTGGTTAGTTTTTTTTTGATCTTCTTCTTCTTCTTCTTTCTCATCACTTTCTTCCTTCCTTCCTTTCTCCTTTCCTGTTCCATGGTATCTCAAAGGATGAGTAGAATCATCAAGATGACTTCGATTTGAATCATGGATATGTTGAAACATCGTGTTGGAATATGTGGGGCTAATATCTATGCGGTATAGAGCACAGCTGATAGGTTATGCGATTTTGTGGGGTTGGAGATGACGGATGAGGGGTTTTATTATTTTGGGAGGGAGGAGGAGGAGGAGGAATGGTGAGGTGAGGTGAGGGGTGGGTGGGTGATGAGGTGGGTAGGGTTATGATGAGGAGTGTCATGTAAAGAGGAGTGTAGGTTGGATAGGAGTGTGGTAACGAAATATACACCAGCGAGATATATCAGCGAAAAATTTGTCAGTAATGTGTAACATATCAGTGAGGGGGACGTGACGGACATTGTTAAAAATGCCTCAGCAATGGGTAATCTAAGGATTAACCACCAAAAGCAAAGTTGGAAGTGTGAACAAAGACCAAATTTCGGTCATTGTTGATGTGACATGTTTCGTTATAGAATAATCTACTATGATATATACACGCACATAATGTATATGTATATTTCTCATGGACTTGGGGAGGTTTAGAAGAAGTATTTATATGCATGACAACTGCTAATCATGATTCAAAGGATAAGTGAGAGTTTAATAAGGAAGACCATGAAAGCTGCGATATTAAGACTCTGGATTCTTGACAGAAAGAGAAGGGTCAGATACTGTGTATTAACGCATCGTATTCTTACTTGTGGTATGTAAATAGTAGGAAACTCTAAGAGAACGAATAAACCATCTGATGACATTGATTTCTCGCGTTGAATTACAATTTGAATAGTTTGAATTAAAAGCTGGAAACAAAACATGACACGATACAACACTGAGTAAGCAGACTGACCCCCAGAAAAATGATACGGTAGTGTGACATCCCAAAGTCCGGAGACAATTTGGCATGATTGGAATTATTAAATTATCAACCATAGTAACCAAAAAGGAAAAGAAATCCTCAAGACCGAAGCAGAAAAAGTGGGAGATGCGATGATAGCCATCCCCCCCAAACAGACGTCGATCATGGGGAGGTTTAGTGCACTTAGCTTGTTCGCTAATACGAATAAGCTTTTTCGAACAAACTTTCAATATAACTCAGTTGCCCATCATCATTTTTGGGACAGAAAAGTACCTGTAATCCTAGGATTTGACTTTGAGATGCCTGGAAACGTTATTACTGACATCATTCATAGAGGCACCTAAAATTGCTAAAAGCATCTCTCTCGGATAGAACAAACTCTGATTGACTGTTTTCTTCCGTAGTACAGTCCGTCAAGATGATTTTTAAGTCAAGCCAATTTAAAGCAGTCGCCGGACGAGAAGAATAGAAAATTGGTATATTTAAAGTCTGTGAAAGGCCTTAATTTTCCCCTCAAGATCTTTCATCTAAAAAATTGCCGAATTTTCCATAGAACATGTAATATTCCTCACGCTAATAAAACTCGCGTGAAGTGTTAGTTGACGCCAAGAAGTGTCCAGTACCTCAATGACTTGCAGAATGGTCACTAATTAGCGTGGACATAAGAAAAATGAATTTTATTGAAAATGGATCTGGTTACCATTGGACCAGCCATACCCCTTAGGACTCTGGCGTCGAACTTATCATACGTTATATGCCTATTTAGGCTCGCAACTTCTTCTACATAACACTATGATAATGCCACGATTCGAAGACTAAGTTCCCTTCATGTATATAAAGTAAATCCCCAATCCCGCAATAGGCCCCTTCAACACAATTTTTATATATACAAAGCCCATAACACCTGTGTTATTGAACCTTTATGCATACGGAAAACATAAGAACAGAAAACATACACAGTTTCCTAGATTATGGGAACCCAATAAACCATCCACCAAATATAATCGACAGTCACAACTTCGACTTCGGATAGTAGCATCAATCAATCAATCAATCGAAACGCATTTCTATCTTCTAAGATACGAATATTATTTTCAAGGTGAAAGTGTTAAACATCAAATAGCAAAATCACAATCAATCAACCAAAAGCAACTCGCAATATCACAAATCCAACAAGTCCTAAGCACCTTCAAAACTACTCAGTCTTTCAATCAGACGCACTCACCCAAAAAGCAACCATCGTGAATTCGATCAATCAACTAAAAAGCACCACTTCCCAAGCAACTTCCACACAACAACTTCGGAGTGAAAATGAAGATTCTCGGTCTGCGAATTGGGGAACCAAAGCCCGAATATCTGGACGCTACTAAGCCTATAGATCACATACAGCAGCTCCCTGATGCCCCCAAGAGGAAGAGTCGATCGGTTGAGGATAGCCTGGGCAGACAAGAGAGTGATGGAAGTTTGCCATCTGGTGCGAACAGTCAGGAAAGTGCAGATAGCTCGACACCGATAGTCGCACGTACAGTAGAAGAGCTGAGGGATGAGATTGGAGGAACTGGGTCATCAGCTTCGGACTTAGAATGTGTGTCGTTAATCTTATAAGTTATCGGAGAGGACATGCATACTGACTCCCCAATAGTAAAATCTAGAATTCTAGAGCTTGCGATCAGTGACATTGGTATGGGAAAATATCAATGGTATTTGTTTGTACTATGTGGTATGGGATGGGCGGCGGATAAGTATATTGCTCCTCCCATTTCCTAAAAATGATAGACCCTGATAAAAATTAGTCTCTGGCTCCAGGGAGTAGCGTTAATCCTGCCTACCTCCTCTGTTGTTTATGGTGTATCTGATCAACATGTTCGGTATGCCACTCTCTTCTTAAATGTTGGATTGTCACTTGGCGCCTTTGGCTGGGGTTTTGGATCGGACAAAATAGGGAGAAGACTCGGTTTCAACTCAACATTAGTCATTGCTGGAATATTTGCCTTCTTGACAGGAATTGCACCAAATTTTATCGCCGAGGCAGCTTTTCTCGGGGTACTTGGACTTGGAGTAGGAGGTAGTCTGCCGGTAGATGGAACTATGTTTGTACGTCGACATCCTCAACGTGGAGTCCCGCCTCAAACTCGAGACATTGCGTTTGTTTAATATTCCATAGTGCTGCTTGCTGATGCTTTAGTAGCTTGAATTTCTACCACACAAAGACCGTATTTACTTGACACTTCTGTCTGTATGGTGGCCGATTGGGCAGGTTGTGGCTTCACTTTTTGCATGGCTCTTCCTTGGATCAAATTTTGAAGCAAGACGTGGTCTAAGACTTTTCTTATACACCATGGGTGCTATAACTTTGGCAATGGCCATCTCTCGCTGGTTTTTTGATAGTATAGAGTCACCGAAATTCCTCCTTGCTTCGAACAGGCAAGCGGAAGCTGTGAGATCTGTTCGTGCTCTGGCGCATAAGAACGGCACTAAAACGTGGCTCACCGAAGAAATTCTTAATGAGATAGGAGGGACAGCAGAGGTAACTAATGTAGTGAATTCAAGCATCAAGGTACGGGTACGTCAAGCAATTGCATCTTTCGGACCAGAGACAAAAAGGCAGATCTCTCCACTGTTTGGAGATGCTGAATTGGGTATAAACACTGTAAGTTGTGTACCGAGTATTTCAATTCTCCGATTTTAATTTTATTTAGGCTCTATTGTGGATCATTTGGCTTTTTATTGGAATAGGATATCCATTATTCAATTCCTTCTTACCACAATATTTGAAAGGCGGCAATAAAACTGAAAGCGAATCCGACACTTATCGAAATTACTTGATAATAAGTACAGCCGCTGTCCCTGGGTCTCTTTTGGCTTGCTATATTGTCAATGTGGCCGGCCGTAAGAGACCAATGGCTTTTGCAACGATGATTGCCGGAGTATGCTTCTTCCTTTTCACCCTTCGTAACGACAGCAGCTTTCAGCTTGGCTTTGGTTGCGCAGCATCAATTTTCCAGAATATCATGTTTGGAATTCTTTAGTGAGTCAATCAGCTTTATCAACGTGAAAGTTGTTATGTTGTACTAACAACATGTAGTGCATATACTCCAGAAACCTTTCCCGGATCCAGTAGAGGAACTGGTTGTGGTATTGCCCACTCATTGAATAGACTTGGTGGAATAATTGCTCCTCTCATCGCAGCGAATGTTGGAGCATCCAATCCAAGCATCCCTATATACGTCAGTGGAAGTTTGATTATTGTAGCATTTCTGGCCATGTGTTGTCTGAGAATAGAAACGCAGAATAGACAGTCGTTGTAAGAGGGTTGTACAGTAACCTTATAGGGGACAGCCCCCGTATACCAAGTGTACTCATTATGTAGAACGAATACAACGTACGAAATAACTTAGATGTGCCACGAGTTGAATGTACCACACGGCGATAGAGAGCCTAGGTCTTGACTATGTGACTGCAGAAACCCGATATTGAACATTCTGATCTCTATCAGTCTTTCCATTACCAGCTTCGATGGCCCTTAATTCTTTCCTATCTCCTATCTCCAATCTCACTGAAGATTGGAGTAGAATATTACGCGGCTTGGTAGGTGATATTGAAGTCTTTGAAATTCTGCCCTGCCACTGCATTCATTAATATTATATCGATCATAACAATCCAATAACTTCTACGGGATGAAGTCTGATTAAAGTAAACAACAGGGATGGGGGATGTGGGCTGACGGACAAGCTACAAGAAACCCCCGGTGAGCTGAGCGTCATTCCTAAAACAGCATCATCTGGCATAGCGCACAGGGCTGTGCGAACTATCAAATAGCTTCCTTCAAAGAATGGATGGATGATCTTCCATACATGCTCCATGCATAAATTGATTGGCCATTAACGAGCGTATTCGGAGTTCTCGGATCTCGTACGAGACCTCTACAAACAGCAAAGCAATTTGGACGCGCAGTCCCAATCAAGGGCAACGAGGCTGAGCACTTGAAACTTGCCTAGCCACAAATCATCCAACAGTGCGAACAGTACGAAGCCGTTGGAAAGCTTTCAAAGGTTATTCATTTTCTATAGTCAGATACTAATCTTCAAACCGTTATTTCGCACCATATAATTTAGTGACCAAAAAAATGTCTGTTCGAATACAACTCGACAATCCTCATAGCTTTTACACGAATCTCGATTTCATCAGCGGCAGAGTCATTCTGAACCTTACAAGCGATGAAGCGGTTAGCAGAATAGTCGTGAAGGTCGAGGGGGAGAGCAAAACCCGTCTATCGAGACCACCAGAAATGTTATACACACAAGGTCCCAACAATCCTCCTGCACTTTATTCGAGGCGAGATAGACAGGAAATATGTCAGGAGAACCACAAGATTCTATACAAGGTCGCAGAAGTGTTTCCCAACAAAGCAATCATCAGTTCATATACACTAAGAGCAGGGCAACATGAGTACCCATTCCGCATCAAGTTGCCCATTAATAATGGCTGCCATGATCCGGCATCGCAACAAATGGGTCCTGGTAGTGGGTTTGGAGGTCTTGGAATTCAGGGCATGCAACAGATGCAGTATACACATGTTAAAAGGACATTACCTCCTTCACTTACAGGATTTCCGGGGGAAGCCGAGATAAGATATTATGTCAAAGTCACTGTACAAAGACCCTCAATGTTTAAGGAGAATAGAAGATCAACAATTGGATTTAAGTTTCTACCGATCGAAGCTCCAAGGCCTCCTAAGACCACAAATGAAGCGTTTGCAAAACGGCCGTATATGTTCCAAAATGGGGGACCAACCTATGCGAAAAAGGGTCTATTCACGAAGAAAACTAAGCAGCTATCAAATACGTCCCCGCAAGGAGAAGTCGATGCTAGACTACCTAGTCCTCCCATCTTGACTTGCAATAAGCCTTTACCAATGAGGATTCTCCTTAGAAGAACTAACACAAGCCCTGAGCATGTGTTTCTCATGTCTTTGCAAGTAAACCTTCTTGGTACCACTGAAGTAAAGGCTTCAGATGTTATTAGAGTTGAAACAAGTACTTGGGTTGTGATGAGTTTGACTGGACTATCCATTCCTATTGGATCACCGGACGATCCGATCGGTAGTGAGACAGCCATAGATAGCAAATTATGGGATGCAATTCCTCTACCAAATACCGTTGCCCCTTCCTTTGTCACTTGCAATCTTGCTCGTCGATACGAACTTGAGGTGAGGATTGGATTAGGTTATGGCTACCCAGGAGAGATTCAGGTATGTCTTATCATGAATTACTTCAGGGGTACGTGAACAAAAACTAACACAACTCAGTCGCAAACAATATCAATCCCTCTTAGATTCAAAATTGAAATTTTCTCTGGCATTGAACCACCAGCGGCACTTTTAGACGCCATGACAGCTCATCCCCCTATTCCAGTAAGACCTCCAGTCAACACAGCACCGCCACCTTTTGATCCGGCATTTCCACCTCAAGTTGGGGCGCCAGGGGCACCGGCTCTAGATGATGCTCCACCTTCTTATGAAGATGCTTTGGCGGAAGACATTACCCAAGCGAATGGCACTTCGAGACCTGCGTATAGTGGCGTTACGAACGAGAATGCGCCCGGTATCGATGAGAAGGGGGGCTTGAGTAGTGGGCATCAAAAGGGCGAGGCTTCGCGGACAGGCTGATATTGTGGAAATGGTTAAACGCCCCTTCGTTCTCGATGGTGACAAAAAGCAATTAAGTGAGGCGTAGAAGGAATTTTTGAATAATTTAATCTCTAATGAACTGCCAAACCAACGAGCTCTGGTTGCCTACTTACTAAATCGCTTCGAAGTTCAAAAATCTAAGCTCCGAGCAAAGTTTAAAAAGCCCAATGGTCAGCGATATCAATCCACAATACAGTTGTCACGTACTACCGATACGTCATATAATATTTATGACATATTGAGGGGGGGAGTATTGGAAGACATGTAAAATGCTTTATTATGGCAAGGAAGGGAAGGATACCTCGAGCGTTAAAGTTCAAAAGGCAGACAGACTGGTAACTCAGCACAGCTTTAGAGTGAGGGAAGCGGAAGAGAGAATGAAATGAGATTTTAACTACCAATGAATCATGTTTTAGAACGAAACGCAAAATTCTTTAGAAATACAGAATACATGCGAAGGGGGTTTCAGTTTCCTACTATAGATGGGAATGGGAGGCATTTTCAAATGTTCAACTTGAGGGAATGTTTGACATTGACAACACTTGAACATTAAACAGCATAAGATTTGAATGATGGTGTGTCCAGATATTTTCACCTGTCTACATCAATCTCATCCGTGATTCTGTCTTTGCACATCTAGGTATGCTTTCAAACCTACTTTTCTCGTCGTTCATTCCATCTGCCTCATCACGTTCAACCCATCCCACTCATTTTCTCCCTTTTCCTCTCCCAGAAGTTATACTTACAGGACTATCTCAACTTGACCCGACTCCAAAACCACTTAGGAATTAGGTGAAAAGTAAGACGAAAACATATCTTATACTGACATGCAAATATTCAATCCATCTACATTCATATCTATATTGAATCACTTCAATGATCTCCGCTTCGCGTGATACTGTAAAGTTCAAATGACATCAAATTATGAGTGCTTTGCGCGGTGGTATGCCGTCGTGGTATAGTATTTTTGGGTAGTTATTGGGTTAAAATTGATTATTTATGTATGTGCTTGAGCTTTTGGTTTGCCGTCAAGATATTGAAAATGGAATGTGCAGTCAATTTAGATACGGATCATGTGAGCCTTCCTCCATTTGTCTCCTAGACATTCCATAACGCCAGATTTTTCAATCTTCCCAAGAATCACTATCGCCGCCTGTAGTCATCCCGTGGGCCTCGGTCGCTTCTATACCTATCACGGTCGTCATATCTGCCCCTGTCCCTGCGGTCCCTATCATCATATCTACCTTCCCTGTTCCGACCACCATCTCGTCGGTCGTCCCGAGAACTATAATCTCTCTTTTCCTCACGTGGACTTTTGCTTCTTTCTCTCCTACTCTCATCGGGGTTTCCTTCCCTTTCATGTCTCTTCCTCAGCTCGTCCTCATCGATAACCATACCGTATCTGTCCCTCCTTGGTCCCGAGCTATATTCCGCATTTCTATACTGCCTCTTTTTCTCCAGTCCACTAACACCACCAAAGCCGCCGCCTCCCTGTCTTCGCTTCGAATTTGTTGCCGTTCGCCAGGTATCAGATAATTTTGATACACTTTGGGAAAAGTCGACATGGATTCTGTGATCGTCTATGAGAACGCCTTGCATTTTGAAGTACGCTTGTTCGCATGACTTTTCGTCCTCATATTCAATAAAAGCATACTGTAAACTATCCCCTGTCCGTTTATCTCTGATCACCTCGCAAGAGAGGATCTTGCCAAAGCGACTGAAAATAAGTTCGAGATCCTCATCTGAAAATAGAAAGTTAGCGTTCATAATGATAATCAATGTAAATCATAGAAACTACCTGTAGTAACTGGATTAAGTTTGCACACAAAAAGAACATTCTCAGGTGGTTTGACTTCCGCAAAAGGAAGATCTCCAACCATCTCCAAAGTCAAGGCTTGCGCTCGTGCTTCCCGCTCTCGTCGCCGTTTCTCAACAGCCTCAACATCTGTTTCTTCATTCAAATCATCATCTTCGCCAATACGAATCGTGGCTAGTTGCGCTTTGGAAGGCACAGGACTTTCTGGTGGTTCGACAAGACCTGCCGGGTCATCATAAGGATCATCTAAGATAACCGTGTGCTTGATTCGTATGTCTACCAAAGGCCGTCCTTTCTCGTCGCAAAACGAATCGTTGATTTTCTCGAGCGTATCGAATCCTTCTACCACTTTGCCAAATATAGCTGCCTTGCCATCCAGATAATCCAGGTCGTCTCCCAAAGTGATTATGAATTGACTGCCTGCGAGACGTTCATCTGGATCTCTCGTTGACGGCGCGGTCGCCATACTGACAGTTCCCCTTTCCGCATGCTTTAATTTTGGGTGAAAATCTGCTTTGAATGTCTTTTTCGCTGGGCCTTCTAATAAACCCCATATTGAGCTCCCCCCGTCGCTATCTTTCGAATCAGGTCCTATCGGATCGCCAGTTTGGCACGAGAAATTCTTCTGTACGCCATAGATCGGAGAAAAATTATAATATTTGATTTTGCAGAGCTTTAAGAAGCTAGATTACCGCGATCGTCTTAGTATCTATGTGTTCAGCTACTTCATAAGACACGGGGAGGCATTGGGATTCAAGACTTACTTCTCACAAAGTTTAGGAGAATAATCGACCAGTAGGTCAATAACAATATCACCAGCAGAGGTCTCAAGAAGGACACTCATGATTGTTGAATAATGCCGATGCCGGGTTGTGAAGCTGTGATGCAGGTAAGTTGATCATCGCACAAGCGCGGAACCGCGGCTAAAATACAAGATCGTCACTTTGCGAAACTAAAAGCGCAAATCACCAATCACAGCAGTATGGCGCTCTAGCTTCTTTATTTTCACATACATATAATAGCCCTCTTCAAGTAACCGCCTGAGCTCCTGTATACTCGATTTCATATTCCTTAACTTCATCATTTAACTAAATTCTCGCCCTCGACAGCCATGGTGTCAAACATTGTGTTGAGTCTAGGAAAGAAGATTTCTCCATTCATATCCAGCATTTCATAAATCACTTGAACTCCAGCCAATTAAAGTACGGCTCAATTGATTCAATTGAATCAATGCCCGAGAAAATATCTGAGTAAGTGAGATGCACATCCTCCAACTCGCTCTTCATCTGATGAAGAAAACAGAAACGACGGAGACACGCTTGCCTCACATATCACGTGCCACTCCCGTACCTTCTGTCTTGAAGAATGCGCAGATGTCTGCATGTTAAACTATGCGCGCCGAATATTCATCCAATCTTCGCGCAGCCTTGAAGATAGTAGGTGTCAATTGTTGGTCAACATGCTGTCGCTAAAAGATTTGTTCTTCCTATTGGACTCGCAAATTTCGTATCCGAAATGGCTGCAGACAAAGGGGCGGGTAGATGAAAATAAAACGTCCGAGGAGCCGTTGATAGGTCTCCATGCTGAGGGCATCTATATCTCGATCACTTCATGCAGCTCCCACCGCACGGCTGCACCGTAGCTTCGGTACTATAGATTACATTTCTTAATGCGATCTGTGCAAACCACCATTCCCTTTGGCTTCCAACGAGGCAGCGCAACGTCTTGGCCTTCATCTTCGAGGAAAGTGGCTATTACTGTCTGCTCAAGATTTTCAGCCTGCATTGGAAGGCGTAACATATCACTACATTTTATTTGAAGAAACATCCATTACCAGGTCATTGGACTTCAGTGGCTCTCATTGGCCCTCGTCAGTTATGCGAAACGGATACGCGCATATTGCACAGATATTGGCAGAGCACGCGAAGCAGCCACCCGTTATGATCTATCAATAACTGCCCATAATTCTTATGATGTTGCATGGTATGCACGCCATGATTTGGTCCACCTCGGGGAAGTATTTTTCCCGCCGCGTCTTCTTACAAAATGCTTTCAAAGTCACGCAATTATAGAATCAACAAAGAGTAAGCCGAAATCTGATGCCATGCCAGGGCTTCGATGGCCCGATCCTCACGAGTTTACAGCTCGACCGGACTGTACCTTATCAAAATAGATCTAACACCAAAGCCCGGGAGATACTCAATAGTTTGGTGACACTTTTAACAACTGCTAGCTATCTCGATATGTAGCCCTTTATTCCCATAATATACGCATTCTACGAGAAGACGATCTTGCTTCGAGATACAGAATGGAAGCCCGTAGTCATCGGCATCCCGATGGTTGGCTTGTATTCTCTCAGCATTTGAAGTAACTAACTGGTACTGCTCTATTTCTATTACACCACCTCGCACATCATCATCATCGGTACTACGAAGACTTCACTTGCTTTCTACTCGAATTGGCGCAAAAGAAATTGTGCGAAGCGACAGAGTTTCTCTTAAGCGTCTGAGCCCAAAGCTCTCCATCTGTGCTATTCCATCTGTAATACCAGAATTTACATTGATGTAATTAAACTGATGTTCGCACCAGTCACGTTGCATTGCCTGAGCATCGCCTTGTTAGAAAAAACTCAGATACCCTGCCAGCCGTTTGAATCGGTTTCCAAAGAGAAATGGAATATACTGCACTGCAGAAAGAAGTTATACAACATTGCTTGGTTGTGGCCAGAATTCGGCTAGAAGCAAACAACCCAGGAATGGAAATTCGTTAAGCTGGGCTTGTTTGCTCCAATTCCATTAGAAGGAGCAAAATTTGATTAAATGTGATTGAATAATCATGTAAATCAGAGCTAAACTCTGAGAGGGTTTGAGGTTCTTCTCTGACAGTGGCGCGTTCAGTCAAATTGTGCTGGAATAGTGCTAGACTTCCAAGGTTTTGACATGGACTTGATTAGACCTTGCTCTCCTGCATCAAGATATGTGTTACGTACCCCGTATTGAAAATGTGGGTGCGTATTGACTCTTTTACCTGTAACGAATTGAGGAGCGAAGTAGCGCAAGATTTGAAGAGCAGAGTATGACAAGCACCAGCGGTGATACATCGTTTGTAGGTTCATAATTGTTCCATAATTCGTATCTTTATTCAATTGTTTGCTGAATTCATTGCAATGCTACCAGGCGCAAATGTCGTTATCTGTCATTCACAATGATATGTAGCTCTGTCTAGAAGGAGTAAAGTTGCTCCTAGCCTGGTAGGTGTCAAAAAACACATATGGGGGCGAATACGGAAAGCTACATGAATTTCCAAATTTATATGCCACCTAAATAGTAGGTAAGATGAGCTTACTGAGGCTCATGAGTTCTTTGTTCTACAGTGAAATTGTTTCACTTATCGAGACAGTCTCATCATAAATTGAATATTTGCATCCACTGTAGGCTCTGAGAAATTTTAACCCTGAAAGCTAACCAGGAAGCTGGAATCTATGCCCCAGAGTTTATGCTGTTTGCTTAAGTGCCGGAAGTACTTGTCGATCTTCCAAATTACGTAGCAGATGCATAAGCCCGCAAAGGGGCCACAAAGCTAAATCATTTATTCTGTTTATTTTAATCATATCTCAGGTTTGGCAGTACTAGTATGCAGGAAATCTTTCATAAAGACAAACATCACAATTCTGTTGTACCATTATAATATGCTTGCTTTCGCCTGACAGCCCCAGGATTTGATAAACCCCAGGTCCTTGATTCATCTCGGATCCTATTGAAGCTTGACACATTTGTTTTTGTACACAAGTTGAACCCAACTGCTTTCAAATTCTCAAATCTTCCCAAGATCTTTTGAAGGTAAGCCAGGCAGTGCACCGATGAAGATCTAAATAACATCCGATCTATTACTTATCGAATTCAGATGGTCACTCGAGGATACTTCGCAGAGGAGGAGCCTACCTTCCGTAGATGCGGTCCGCGCGGTCAAAGCTATCCACTGGCTCAAGAACGCTCCGATCACTCATACCCACCTCGAACGTATAGCGATGGACGAAGCAACGATCGTGGACCAGAAAACACCGAACCGGGACATCATCAAATGAGGCGCAGAATTCAGGTAGCAGTATGCCACCCAAACTTCTGTTTACTGCACTGTGAACTTTCCACCGCTTTGAATGAATTTACTGATCAAACTTTCTCGTAGTGTCAAAGATGCCGAAAGCGCAAGATTCGGTGCAGCGGCGAAGACAATGGCAGGCCATGTTACCACTGCAAACAGTCCTCTTCAGAACCATGCGAGTTCTTGAGAGTACGTCCGACCAGCCTATTGTTCAAAACGATAAATACTAACTCAAGTAATTTAGGTGACGGCTATGCGACTAGAACAAGCAAAGGATCTTCCGGCTGATTGCTTTGATGATAGTTTGCGCCCAATGTACCGAATGCCTTCAAACGCCTCGTACAACAACAATTACTATCAGACGTTACAGACCCTCAACTTGGGTCCCGATAGTATTAATCTTCTTCGCCCAAGTTATTCTAATTATGGCTTCCAAGGACCAAAATTTCTCAATTCGTCCTACGATAACTTCACCGAAGAACCTGCCGAATTCAATTTGTCAAGTTCAACCCCGTATCAAGTGGCAGCACAAGATTCCGTTTCTGTGTCTAATTATCCAGTACAGAGCAATGGGCGCACACGCGTAAACCCTCCGGCGCCAATGTATATGGACTCAGAAGCTACAGCGAATTATAATTCTGCATATCAAAGTTATAATGCGCGCTCAATGGTTGACTCGGAATCAAAGAATTTTGTGTCCCAAACAACACATGCATCCCATCTTATGGAACTGCAAGTGCAGCCACCACATCTTCGCAAGCTGCCCTCAATGTTGCCACCACCACCGAGAGGCAACTTCCATACCCGAACAGACAATACGGGTCCACAAATGACGGTGCTTTTAGTTCACAGAACTCGCTCCAGCCGTATGGATTTCATGAGCTCAAACGTGAACAGCTCTGCAAAAATCAACTCTCGATTCAAATGCCCCTGACAAATCCGTATATGAGTGTTTCCACAAGCAACCCTCACGAAATCACTACAGCCGCTGCTACTGCTGCTTACCAATCAGGACAACAATCTTCGTTATCACAGCAAGATTCGGAAATTTATGATGCATCAACTATTAATGGCAATCTGTATTACACTCAGACCAATGAGTCCACCACGGATATAAGCCACTATGGAACAAGCAGTGGAAGCGAGCCCAGCAAAAGTCGTCAAAATAGTCAGACCAACACCACTGATAATACATGGCCGACTAATAACCGAAAGTCTAGCGGCAGCGGAAGTAGTCTATTAGCAAATGGACAAACGTATGTTCCTCACACATGCAGTCATTATCCAACCCCAAACCTACCCACTCAGATGCAGAATCATGGGCTCTTGCAACTTCCTTCACAAATGCCCCCAGTCTCACATGATGGCCTTCCAGCGCCCTCGAGAGAATATGTCTCAAGTCTTTCGTCGAGATAATTTGGGTCTTTGCTCGACGCTCGGATCCATGATATGTTTGTTCAAAGGACAGGCAGAATATGATCTACTTGAGGAAGAAACTATGAATCTACTTTTACACCGGACAAACCCACTTTGATTAAAGGGACGATATTAAATCTCGAAGACCTAAAAACCGCCGACGTGGGGCCTAACACCTCAGCTAGTTTATTTCCTTTCGTTTATTTTATTTCATTTTTGTTTTTGTTAAAATCGTGCGAGTAATTATTCATTGGTCACATTTGTTTGGTATGGAAATGGCGAAATGGGGGGCAGACAAAAGATACTTTAAAAGGGGGATAGGGTTTGAATCGGTGGGAGGTGGAAGAAGACTGGCGTTCTCGTCTTTGTTCTTATCAACTGTTCATTGTGTGCATTGTGTTCATATATTCCAAGATCGCTCACCAGGAGCGGCTTGGTCAATTGCGTTTATTCTTCTTGCTTTCAGGGTTCATTTTCGAGTCCGTCACAAATATCCACCGAATATGGGGTAATTTTCTGTGAGATGAGAGTTGTGTCGGACAAGGAAGAAAGAATTACGATGGCATGGTAGAATTCGGTTAAGGAAAGTAATACGTGTTGGAAGAAAAGGAGTATAAATCATCGTCAACAAGCGCTCAGTGTTACAGGCCAAAGGATCATGGGAAACGGGCAGGAAACGGCGAATAAGTGGTAAACAGGGACAATAGATGGGTATTCGAGTACTATCGCTGGTACGGCTGGGGGGTGAATCGAATGGGCTCGCGCGTACATTGAGCTGGAAATGGAGTGCACATTCTTTTAGGTCTGGGGCAAGTGTGTTGGAGATCTCTCGGCGGGGGAGTATTTACTTCGAAGGAGAAGCGAAGAAAAGGAGATTAGTAGGCAGTGAAAATATGCGTGGCTATATTGTGTTTATTTTTTTATTATTTAAAAACACTTTCTTTAGTTCTGATTCTTAATTCGACGCGAATAGGAAAGACAAGACAAGAAGACGCAAAACGTGAGCGAAAATGGGGGAGAAGTAGTTTGTCGATATTTCCCTGTTATTTCTATCCTGTCCTATGTTTTTCTTTTTGATCTACAGATACGTTCATGGAGACAACAAATTCTGGTAAAAGACTTATGGCGGATGGAAGAGAAAATGTGGGCATCGCCTTGAGCTCGAGCTCACTTGCAAATGTTGTTTGATATTCAGAACTTTTGGGTTTATTATGGTGTGGTTGGTGGTGACCAGAGTGTCTGTCGTACGATACTGGTATCAATACGTCCAATGTTCAAGTTTTCAAGTACTGCTTGATTGCTAACGCGCAATGTATGCGCTTCTTTGGGTGTTGGATACACCATACAGTACTGGGTACTATCGGATAGTCACAGCAACACGCTGATAGCAGTCAGACTTAATAATAATTATGATCATTATACTAATATCATAGCTCCTTCCAACTTTGGCCCAAATTTCGACCAGATGAGACTAATCTTCGACCAGTCTGGTCTAAACATTGACCAACTTGACCAAATTGACCAAATTTCTGACTGTGTTTCCTGGTCACAATCACCAATATTGACCCAAAATATTTTCTCTGCTTATGCCATGATGCAGAGAGCCTCCCCAAGTGCCAAAGCAGGAAGAAACGAGACGATCCTAAGCTCTTGGCGATGGTGCCCATGCCAGACTTTTAAAAATTTCGTTTTGATAGAGCAAAAGCAAGATTTCCGGGTGCAACTCACACATCCTTCCTGAACCAATCACAGATGAACTGACCTTGTCACGGCATTGGAAATCTCAAAGCTGCAATCTGCGAGGAGTAAGCGACCTCGTGCCACAAAAAGCGCATGTAAAGTAGAAGTTTATGTTACACAAAAGGTATCACAAATGTTTACACGGCAGGAATTAGACCCCACCCACCCTAATGATTTGGGATACGGTGAAGAATAAAGCGTTGTGCCTGGCTCCCTTAAAATTCTCTGTTTCTGGGGGAGAAATAAGGGTCATGGTAGGGAAAGCTGAACGTTGAAGACCGGATGAGCACTGCATCTACTTGTACAATCGATGTCTCATTTTTGGGGTTTCTCAGTACTAGCGAAGCACAGCAGATACTTAGGATGAACTTCATGTCATTGTACAGTACATGGTGCCAACATGGTAATGGTTTTGCCTCGCGCAGTGGCCAATCTCTCAATCACATTCACTGTTATCTACTGTCTAAATCAATCACAATTGATATGTTTGTTGCTGAAGGTCGATATGAGATAGTGCCATACTTGATATTTGGATGCACTTCGATTATCGGTAGGAAAGTAATTTATGATATCTCAAGCTTCAAGCTTAGATTTCTACTCTCCAACTTGCACTTAAGTGCTATCCTCCATCTGTAACTTGTCTGGACCTCGTGGTAAATGAGGCCAGGCTTCCGAAATCTCCTCCCCGAGGAGCAATTCGGAAAGTCCACGAGCCGAGCCTTAAGTCCATGAGATAGGAACTTTTGTCGCCTTGGATCCAGAACGTTCTTTTTGTGCTCATTCGTACTGACAATGCCATTCATTTCTTGTCACATAAGTCAGTTGTGTCCGCCCAGCATGTGAGATATGCCACTATCTCATCTCCAGCAAGTATGTGAAACGCAAAGAACCACAAGCTAGCTGAAGGGTACCAGTGCTTGTATAACAGAGAGACGTCCGTCATCTCCGCAATCAATGCAGATGAACATGTAAAGAAACTGAGATTCAAACAGCGATTGAACAAGGTACGGACCGAAACGAAGCACGGAGCGATACCTACCTAACATAGTTTTGCTTGCAGGACGCGATGTGGTTTGTAACATCAAAAGGGGGGAAATTGGGGCAGTTCAGCTTGAAATGTCGATATAAAGTTTGTAGTGGCGCACGAGGCAAACTTTGTTGACAGAAGGTAAATTGCATAAAATGACATGTCAAAAAGCGCTTGCAGAAACGGTCAAAGGCATCTTTACAGATGAATACTTGTGTCCATGATGCAATGGTGACATGGGAGGTGGGAGAGAGCCATGTAAGAAAAAAGTAAAATTTGAGGAATAGCAACCTCCAGGTTGCAAAAGCATATTTCCATTTTTATATCACCCATGACCATGCTGCACATAAACCAGATTTCGTAATGAACGAGCAAAACACCGTGATTGAAGTTTGTAGTGTGGACCTAATAGAGACCGATTAGAGGTTTCATGCCATCATGCCTCTATTTTCGTTCCCTAATTACACCAAAGCATGATACGATGGAGGATCGATGCAGATGCGTACAAAGCACATAGCCAATCCCCAGGTCCAACAACACCAACCATTTCCCACCCCAAGATGAAGCGAGTGCTCTACTCCTTCTTCTTCTTGGCACCCTTGACCTTCGCAGTACCTCTGAGTGTCTTTTGTCTGTTCTTGCGTTGCTTGCCTAAATTCCAGCACATGTCAGTATTAATTCGTAGGTCAAATTCACTTCCACCCAAACAATTTCGCAAACCAGGACAAGGACTGTAACATACGTTGTTGTCTGCTGGCCTTCTCGATCTTGGTAGCAAATCCAACACGGACTAATCTGTAGTGGGGTTCGAATTTCTTCATTGCCTCTGGGGAGTCGTAGACGAGGGCGAAACCGGTTGTCTTTCCACCACCGAATTGGGTACGGAGACCGAAAACGTTGACTTGGTCTTGGCTAGCCTTGTAGAGTTCGGCGAGTTTGCCTCTGAGCTCATCCTTGGAGATGTTGGCACGGTTTGGGTGGAGGATGTCACTATATTAAAAAATCCATCATCAGTCTTCCAATTCATAGATACCCGTATCCCTCATTGTACTCCAAAGGCACTTGAATAGTGTTCCTTCAATACTGTAATTGTTCGAAATAGGTGGCGGATTCGATAAGAATGATGTTGACTTACACGACCATTTGCTTTCGGCCGAGGAGAGGGTTGCGAATGAATTTGCGCGTTCGCAGCGTAACTGGGGCGTTATTGTCGGCCATTTTTGCGATTATCTAAGTCGATCAGCCTGTCTGCGAAGTTTCGAGACAGTTGTCGTGATATAGATTGTCGATGGATGTCGCTGTCGTAGGAGGATTGCAAAAAAGTTCGAGTGGCTCTCACATTCGGTAAGTCGAATTGCGCTAAGACTAGCCAAATTGATTAGTAAGCAGCAAAAATGTGCGAAGCAGTGGATCCGAAAGGTCAGAAACCCTAGGTTGATGCCTTAATATTATGGTGGCCAAACCTGCTCCGATTGTCCTTGAACACCCCAAGGTCATTCAATATCGATGACTTATTCATCCTCAAATAATCCAGTGATTGTCTTTGACTACAGTATTCATCAAGTTGTGAAATATTCTGACAAATTTCGTCTTGGAATTGAATCAGAAATGCCTATTCTTTCCAAGGACCATCAATTGGACAGGTTTTGTCGTCAATATCTTCAACTTCTACCAAATCTCGAATACCCAGATGAAGAATATCTTCGAGATGATGCCTTCCAGGAAGCCATCTACTCAAGACTATTTGAGGAAAATGTTTTGGAGTATCCACCACCTCAGAGATATCAATTGAAAACTCTGAAAGAACTCACCAAAAGAATCGAGAACAGTATTCACGATTGGGAAGAACAAGTAGGTATGCATAAGATGCTGTTTCTTTAGTTTAATTGTTCTTCAATACAAATATTCAGCACCTCTGTATCAGTGAGAATAAATGACACAAAGCTCTCGTTGTTTCTTTTTCCAAATTTTCTGACAATGTCTTTCTTCTCTCCAGGGAATATCAGATAATCTAATGAGCCAACTTTCTATTCTTCTTTCTACCCCTATTCCTTCAGAAGCTACAGCTGCTCAGCAACAATCTTATGTGACCTATACCATCTCCTCTCTTCCTCCTATTCCTTCTACCTCTACCTCATCAGCTTCGCAAACTCCAACAATAACCATCCTCGAATCTGCATCCCTTCTATCTGGTTCCGGAACCACAGGCCTTCGGACATGGGAAGCCGCTCTTCACCTCTCAACTTACATATCTCTCAATCCTCATCTTATCTCCAACAAAACGATATTGGAACTTGGATGTGGAACTGGTTTTATATCAATCCTGTGCGCCAAATATCTTTCCGCAAAGCACGTTCTGGCTACCGATGGAAGCCCTGAAACGTTGACTTTGATGAACACAAGCCTGTTTCTCAACAACCTAACAGATGCCATTACTCCTACGCCATCTCAAAATACGACCTCCAAAACAAGCATATGCGAACTTACCTGGGGTCACATGCTTCCAACTGGGGAGTTTGAGACATTTCCCGAATTCCTATCATCGAAATGCTCATCATCCAACCCAACGTCAACCGCCGGATCAAACCAGACCCCATTGGATCTAATTCTTGCTGCAGACGTAATTTACTCTCCCGCTGTAATTCCTTCTTTGGTTGCAACGCTTGAAGACCTCTTTGATCTGTATCCACAAGTGGAAGTGTTAATCTCAAGTACAGTACGTAACGCCGAGACGTATGCAATATTCGTAGAGATGTGTAAAAAGAAACAGTGGCAAATGGAGAGGGTAGGGTTTGAAGTGGCGGAAAGAAGTGAACAGGAAGGGCCGTGGTATGGAGAGTTGGGAGAGGGGATTGAGATTCTTTGGATTCGGAAAACTTGATGTGGAAAGTGGAAAGAGGAAATGCGATAAATTAAACAGCTGCGATATAATTTTCCAAATAGAAAACTTAGTCATTACAAGCAGAGCTATTCGTTTCCCTCCTAACATGTCTCTTGAATGATAACTTAAGATGAACTTTCGATTGAAGAGAAAGAGTAAGACTGGCTGTACATCAGCGGTTTTATTCCAAGTCAATTTTATTAACTTCCGCTGTAGTTAACTCGTTAGATTTTCCAGACATTCAACAAAAGTCCTGATTTTTGGGAATGACCGGCTTAGTTTGATAGTGTTCACTAAAGCGATTTATGATCATGCCAACAAACAAGCACGAAAGTCAAAAGAACCTGAGAATATCTGAACTTTTCTTTCCGTACTGTGGTAGTCGATGTAGGAATTTTATCTTGAATACATAACATAGATGAGCAATTGGTACACACAGTGATGTAGGTCGGTAAGCTTGCAGGCAAGATAGATATTGAATGGTACTAATAGGATTGATTCAAATAAAGTCGATTGATATCATAAGTACAGTGCAGGCTCCTCAACACAGGGGACTGACATTGTTGTATAAGACCCTAACAAGGTCGCATGGGTTAATGATTTCTCTCATTTCTCCATTTCTGAGATCCTCTAATACCGCACTTGTGTCTTCTTCCTCGATGGAATACCTTCGCAGTCTTCCCTTTATCTCCACAGTCCCCTCCTCGATCTATTAACATGCATGGCGAATCATCGCCGTGGCATTAGGCAGGCTGCTCATCCCTCTCACGAGTATTGGGGTCTTCATAGGTAGTCCATACAACCAACTTCATACTTCCTTCCTTTGGCTTTTTCACATCCGTGGGCCACAAATGTAGGAGAAGCATGCTTCATTCCATCGGAACCCTTGCCGACGAAAAGTATCGCCGATTCGGGGTAGCTCCTCACCTTTTTGACAGTTCAGCTAATTTGACTCGGTAGAATCCATACAAGTTTGCCCTAAGAACCTTTCGTGACTGTAAGATTTGTTCCCTTCATGAATCGTTGTGCCCAATTCCAATGTTAGGACCACTTTCCAGCCTTTCGCCGAGCTCCATGATTGTTGCCTCATAAACTCTAGCAATATCCATGGCAAGCTCATCATTGTCGTATTCCGAGTCGTCCTCCTCATCCAAATTCATACCGTCGGCTCCGTTGTCACCATTGTCTTCGACGCCGCTCTCAGGTTCGAGCTCTGGTTCAACTTCCTTACTCATGACGTCTACGATCATCACTCTGGTATCTTCAACTATACTTCTGCATCTAACCATATCAGTCTGACTCATTCCCCGCTCTCCCTACCCGCTAGAAACCCGGTAAGGTCTCCCCAGTAATCGAGTCTTCTCCTCTCAGTAAGCTAGCAAATGCATGATCCAGTTTTCTCAGAACAGCAAAGGTTGCAACCGGCGCTGGAGGGAACTTTGTTGGATATGTAGTCATTACCAGAGCCACATTTAGCAAGTACGGAATTTGTAAATTCGCTATTCCAGTCAGTCTAAGATCCCAAGGATCATACATGAGTTAAGGTACGTTACGTACGTGTACTTGAGAGCCACAACACATCTATTATCTCGGAAAGATCCTTAGCTACCTCCTTCATACTTACATAGCCGATTACCGAATCTCCTTCTTCAGGTTCCTCGAATTTTTTAGTGTATCGCCTCGAGATGTGGAGTAGCCTGTTCTCAACATAGCGCCTTGCAGCTTGTTCTTTTCCTGATCCAGCACGAAGAGGTTTCGCACGTGGCTGTGGTAAATTGGACAAGGTGGAGCTGACTGAAGTAGTGCTTGGGGAGGGGGAGGGAAGAGCATCTGGAAGGAACCCTCCTGATTCTGAAAGATCCATGTTTATTTAATTTATTCGGCGAATTCGAGTTTCTCAGACGGATTAAATATCAAAAGGCAATCGTTTTAATGTATGGCCAATCCAGGAATTTCGAATCAAGGCTGGGTATTCCTCAGTGGTAAGTATTCAAGATCAGAAATGAAACTGTTTATCACCCGTATTCGTTCTAACTCGGGAAAAATATTCCCCACGGTGGATAACGTCAATATGCAACAAAGGTCACTGTAATACAATAATCAGTATCAAAGACAAAAAGATGACATGAAGTCCAGTCCAGCCTTATGAAGAAGACAATGACTAAGCAAGGCCCAGATTAAGCTCAAGGAGCTCCAAAGTTATAAGTTCTCAAGTAAGGTTAAATAAACAAACCATAGATTTATTTCAATGCCAATTCCACAAGAATTCCATTGAAGTGCTTATTACGCCGAATCCTTCGAGGAGCGTATCTTACACAACCCTGCGATGCTCACCGTATCACAATCGCAGTGATAATCCCCTACAAACGTGCAGCCTCGAACTGAGCTCATCCGCTACAATGTCAAGTATTGATGATTTGTTCAAGGTGCGCATATAATGTTCTGGCTCATGTTCTCCCGTCTAACATTCTTGCAGAAGCCAGCTTTACCCAGTCATAAGCGCAAATTAGAGCCTACTCGAGATCCAAGTTAGCAACCCTCCTCTTTCGTACTCCAACTCGTTGCTAAGCAATCCATTAGATGAAATCTACAAATCCGCGAAATTGTCCGCGAGTGGCCATGCGAAAAATAATGGCAAACAACCGGCAGTAGAAGAGGATGATGATATAGAAGCTGGACCTTCCGCTCCGCATGGTGACGACGAAGAAGACTATGGACCAGATATTCCAGACGATGAAGAGGGCCGATTTTTCGGTGGTGGTATCACGAAAGATGAATCTGAAATATTAGACTATATGGATGGACAAGAAAGCGCAGAGATCGTTCCTGAGAAAATCGACTCGGCGTGGTTACGGAAAATGGCCCTGAACTTTGAGAAGAAGATCACGAAGAACGCGGAATTGAGAGCCAAATTTGAAAGCGATCCGCAAAAGTTTATGGGGAGCGAAGCGGACCTAGATGCAGATATCAAAGCTCTAAGTATTCTATCAGAACATCCTGAATTATATGGAGAATTTGCGAAGCTAGGTTGCGTTGGAAGCTTGGTTGGGTTATTGGCGCACGAAAATACAGATATTGCGATTGATGCCGTGGAGATTATCAGCGAACTTACGGACGAAGACGTGGAGGCCGAACAAGAACAGTGGAATCAAATTGTGGATGCTATGATTGAGGCGGATTTATTAGATCTGTTGGTCTCGAATTTTGCGAGGTTCAATGAAAACAATGAATCGGATAGGAGTGGTGTATACCATGCATTGTCTGTGTTGGAAAATTTGGCGTCGAGAATAACGCTTGCGGAGAAGATTGGCCAGGAGACAAACATACTGAATTGGTTACTGAATCGAATACCGAAAAAAGAGTCGCCAGTGAGCCAGAACAAACAATACTCGGCAGAAGTTATGGCAATTCTCCTTCAATCATCTTCACTGAATCGACGGAAACTTTGCAAATTAGACGGTGTCGATCTCCTACTTCAAATATTGGCAGCCTACAGAAAACGCGATCCTATTAAAGGAACCGAGGAAGAAGAATTCGTAGAAAACGTGTTTGACTCCTTAACCTGCTGTGTTGATGAGCCAGAAGGAAAACAAAAGTTTGTTGAAGCAGAAGGTGTCGAACTTTGTTTGATTATGGTCAAAGAGGGCAAAATGAGTAAATCACGCGCACTCAGACTATTAGATCATGCATTGGGAGGACAATCTGGCGCAGACGTTTGTGAAAAGCTGGTAGAGGCGGCGGGTCTCAAGGTAGTATTCGGAATGTTCATGAAGAAAATCGACGGTCAAACCATCGAACATGTACTAGGGATATTCTCAAGTCTACTGCGTCTACTGCCTGCCAATCAAGCCGGTCGGCTTCGTACGCTTGCCAATTTGTAGAGAAGCACTATGAAAAGATAGGCAAGCTTGTGAAAACTTCGTCGAGACTATGCAGCACGGGTATCATCTGTAGATACGGAAATCCGCAAAGAACAAACGAGACTTGGCGCGGAAGAGAGAGAAGAGATGGCAGACGAATGGTTGTCGAGAAGGATGGACGCGGGATTGTTTTGCTTGCAGACTGTTGATGTTATTTTGGCATGGTTAGTGGCGGAGGATGCAGGGGCAGAAAAGAAGATTCAGGAATTATTGGCGGAGAGAGATGAGGGGTTGAATTTATTGAAGGAGACGATACAAGAGCAATTGGATACCCTGGTAGGAGGAGATGAGGAGGGAGATGGTGAGGAGAAATTGATGAAGGATATGTTGGGAACGCTGGTGGAATTTTTGACTTGATGGAAATTGTCATGTCTTTTCCAATGTAAAAATTTGAAGGGGGATTCCAAAAGTGTAGAGAAGCGAACACTTAATTGTAAACTACCCAAAATTTAATAAATTGAAACATTTATTACAGTTCAGCTATTCTTTTCACTATTGCAAACTTTCGTTATCCTGCCGTGAAAGTGCTCACCTTCAAGATAGAACTTCGCTAAAGATATTGATTGACATTTGACATTTTCATAGTTCTGAAGCTGCCTCGCTGCTAAATTTCTACATTCTACAGCATGATATACTTCCTATGAAACCCACAGAACCAACATAAACAATTGCTAAAATACATTTCATATCTGCTCTGTCAGGATATACATCCCAATTCTACTCCTCCCCTTCCTTTACCTACTTTTTAAGAATTATTGGACCACTCATCTAATCCCCAAGATACTACTGAAGAAATCTCAAGAAAGAGAGGTTTATAGAATATTAATATCAATTACAAGTTACAAATCCAGAATGGACAGTTAGATATCTCATCAAAGATATCTGTCTATATTCGATCAAGAACTTAAGCATACGATTCTGTATACACGTCTTGAGTTTTCCTATTCTATATAATATCTACATATACAGTACTGTGGGTACTAGATAGGTACCTAGCTATACTAAATTAGACAAACTACTTCTATCTACTCTCTACTTAGAAGAAAAAAGAAGCCAAAATTAATCCTCCTAATAAATTCTATAATAAACCAACCAATTAATAGAATTACAAAAGTTATTGATACTGAACAACTCCTTAAATACTCTTCATGTTATAAAACTATTTAAAAATTTAATTCTTTAAATTGAAATAGAACAATTGGATTATTGAAGAAGGGCTTTGCCAGTGGTCAATTGCGGCCTGTTTTTTCGCTTACCTCTCTCCACACCCACCGATCATTTGTTTATATACTTAGACAACCACTGCTCCTTCATCAAAAGAGACCAACATCTCTCAACGGCCTGATAGTTCAGTGGTAGAATCTTGCTTTGGGTTATCCAATCTAAATTGTAAGAGGTCTCCGGTTCGATCCCGGATTAGGCCCTTCGTCGTAGTAGTATTTTTGATCTTTTACCTCGTTTGCTTTCTTCCACCTCCATACAAGCTCCAAGATCGGTGTAATATATAATCAATCGCATGAGGGAGAGAGTGTGTGCAATCAACATTTTGCAGAACAAGTGGACACTGGAGAGATTCCAAAAGTTAGACAGAAAGTGGGGGATTCACTGCGTGGTGGGGTTGAGATGTGAGATGTGGATCTAGTTGGGCAATTCTTCACCTGGCGAGCTTGGTTGACGTGTCGGTGGTAGGGATAATAAATATGGAAGGTGCGAGTGGATCAATATATTTTTACATAGCTATCGTAGATCCATAGGATTAATAATTTTACACCACTTCCCTTCCACACTACAAGAACGACTCCTTCATCGGTTAGAACAATCTAGGGCTAGGGAGGCACGGAGGGGAATGGTGGGTGATCATCGTTGACTCGGATGTTTGTCTTGCACTGTGGTGAAACATACATGCATGAATTCATGTTCACAAGACCTCTCAAGATTTTTCAAAACCATCCAACTCAAAGGTGAGATGTACTTAAATTTGATATGCTATTGTTGCATTCATTATCATTTAATCAGTATACATGGAGGGTACTATTTTCACCCAATCATTCGCTATGTTACACCCAAAAGAGCCTCCATCCCGCTGAAGTGATATCACAAAACGCCAATACCCCGCCAAATTTCATATGATTGTTAGCAAAAATTTAATGCTGACTCCACTCAATACTGTCCAAAGCAATACCTTCCTGTACGAGCTCCCAAAGTGGACTCAACTCTCGTAAGAATGTGACTCGGTTTTCGACTGCTTTCAAGACGTAATCGATTTCAGACTCGGTGGTGAAACGTCCAATACCAAATCTGATACTACTGTGTGCACTCTCATCACTGCTACCGAGTGCCCGGAGGACGTAACTGGGTTCGAGGGAGGCAGATGTACAAGCACTTCCTGATGATAGAGCAATATCCTTAAGTGCCATCAAAAGAGATTCTCCCTCGACATAAGCGAAAGAAACGTTTACGCATCCTGGATAGAAATGATTTGGGTCGCCATTTTGAGTGGTGTGCTCCATTGCGAGAAGGCCCTTGAGGAGTCTGTCCGAAAGCTTTTTGACGCGAGCATGGTCATACTATTGTATTGTTAGCATAGACCCAATTTCAATGTTTGCTGCGATTCAAATAGTTGAGCTGCAAAATCAGACAAGGTACTGTGAGTCGTCAAAGAAGCCTCAACTTGCAAGCAAGGAGGCCACTAGGAAAGCCATGCATATGTAAAGTAGGTCATCATGTAAGCAAAAAAGGGAAAAGAAATATCGAAGCTTACATCTAACTCCTCCTTTGCAATCCGGCAAGCTTCACCAAAGCCAACCACTAACGCAGGTGCGAGAGTTCCACTTCTCAAACCTCTCTCTTGTCCACCTCCACTGATGATTGGGTCAAGTCTGACCCTAGGTCTTCTGCGTACGTAACATGCACCGATACCTTTTGGTCCATAGATCTTATGAGATGAAATTGACATCAAGTCAATATTCATCGCATTGACGTCCAGAGGAATCTTTCCAACAGCTTGTGCGCCATCGGTATGGAAGAAGACCTTCTTTGAGCGGCAGAGTTTACCTATTTCTTCGAGCGGTTGAATAACACCAATCTCGTTATTTACTGCCATGATACTGACAAGGGCTGTTTCGGGTCGAATAGCGGCTTCAAGTTCGGCCATGTCAACCAGGCCGCTTTGCTGCACTGGCAAATATGTAACATCGAAACCTTCGTCTTGCAAATGCCTACAACTGTCCAATACACATTTGTGCTCTGTTTGGGTTGTGATATATGCCTCTCTTCCGGCCCTGCCAAAGAACATCGCCACACCCTTAACACTCATGTTGTTACTTTCAGTAGCTCCACTCGTGAAAATAATCTCTTTTGGGTCAGCTCCAATCAGTGTGGCAATGTGCTCTCTTGCTTCTTCTGTCGCCACGTCGGCTTCCCAACCATAGGCGTGGGTTCTCGAATGTGGGTTGCCGTATAAGCCGGTATAGAAAGGCAGCATCTTGTCCAATACTCGTGGGTCTAACGGGGTGGTAGCTTGCATATCCAAGTAAATTGGTCTGTTGCCTTCGTCCATGACAGTAGCTTGCTTAAGCACGCCTAAGCCGATGTCAGTTAAACTTCTTCACATACAAAATTTTGTGCGAGGGGCAAATACCAGCCATGGGACTCATCATCGCATCAGCATTTACGGAAGTTCCAGATATTGATTGATCCTGAGCATGTTTGCCAGTCTCTTCAAAGAAAGCTTTCTGTTCTGATCGGATCGCAGTATCAACAGTAACTTGAGCGCTATCCTTCTTCGTCTCGGAAACGTAACCCCTCCTTGAGATGGACGCCACCCGAGCAAACGCGGAGCTTCTCAGCAGTCCAGCAGCTGGAGATGATTGTTTTAAGCAAAGGCGCGATGCCTGCCTCAATGATTTTGAAGCCAAACTCGACATTATCATGAATGATAAACGGTGAATTTGATGATATCAGAGTGGAAGGCAATTCCACTGAGGGGAAACTATTGAGCTTCTTATTTAGAGACTTTTGAATTTGAAATTCTACTGGATTAAAATAAAGCTAAACTCTCTTTGTACTAGGTTTCGTCCTAACTCCGTGCTGTCTTGCGAATCACCGAAAATTGAAAGGAATATGCAATGTAATTGGCCACCTTGGTCAAAAGAGCGGGAGCGGGAAATCGGATTGATGGGCTATCGAGCCATAGATATGAGGCATGAAAGCATGATTTCGGCTTATTTTTTGTTGAAACGACCAATCAAGATTGGAAGATAGATGTAGTTGTTTGCTGAGTAATCAAATCCAAAAGTGGCAGTGGCAGTGGCAGAGCAACCTGGAAGACAAGGTTCTTTCATAATTATCATTAAAATTGGGATGACTTCATAAACTTTTTATGCATTCCAGGTTCCGTCTTACCCTGGCATTTAGAGGCCCATGCTTGTTGAGAATGCCGTGTTATACCCCCCCCCCATGTGAGTTGATGCAAACGATCCGACGATTCCATAAATTCAATTCATGAACATTTTGACTTTTGAATGCGCGCCAAAGCAAGTTTTCTTCCACTTCGACATATCTGACCTGGGAATACCTTCATATACTTCATTTATTATTGTTACCCATTCTTGACCTATTCGTCCTCTATTGCTAGGCGTTATCAGCTGTTATCCATTGCGAATCCTTCTTCCTATAGCTAGGGACTTGTAATAAGATACCAAGCATATCGGGGCTGATAGAAACCGCCGTCAACAAGATCTGCTCAGCCACTCCTCGTCATCGTCTGTACTACAGAAAACAACCCTGAAATACCACCAGAGGCATCTTTCTACTTCAAACATCACAACTCATCACAATAAACATACAACGCTACAAACAAAACCTTCTGTTAATCAACTCAAAAACTTCACCCTGAGCTTTTTCTTCCTAGATTTTGAAGCTAAAATTGGGAAATGTCCTTCAAGGGCTTTCAAAAATCCCTGGTCAGAGTGAGTATGACTGAACATTATCAAGCCGGATCGCGGGGATTCTTGCAATTTTGACTGACTGATTGACAGGCGCCTCAAACGTTCAAAGCCAAGTTCAATCTAGGGGAACAAACAAAAGATGCCGTCTATATTGATGCGGAACGGCGATTCCAGGAGTTGGAAACCGAGACGAAAAAGCTACACGATGAGAGTAAAAAATACTTTGAAGCTATTAATGGCATGATGAATCATCAGATTGAATTCTCTAAAGCGATCGCCGAAATATACAAACCAATTTCAGGAAGAATGTCCGATCCAGACTCCCTGGTTCAAGAAGGGAATCCAGAGGGAATCAGGGCATGCGAAGAATACGAAGGAATTTGCAAGGACCTCTTGGCGACCCTACAA